TACATTGGCTATGTGCAGATGGATGAAAATTATCCTTATAGGAGCTAAAAGGCAAGGTCTATTGGCATCAAATTCATGCATGCATGTATGTTTCACATCTGTCTCGTCCAGGGTAAAGTCCATGGCATAGGAACATAACAATAAAATTATGCTAACATCCATGTATTCTTTGCCTTCATTGCCTTCACTGCCTTTGCATGTGTTGTCTTTTTTTTTTTGGATCCTTTTTTATTTTTTTTTGGCCTACATTGCCTACGTTGGCTATGTACAGATGAATGAAAATTATCCTGATGGCAGCTAGAGGGGCAAGACCTGTTGGCATTAAGATTCATGTATGCATGGATGTCTCTCATCTGTCTCATCCAGTGTGAAGTCCATGGCATGCGAATATAACAATAAAAATACGCCAGCAACCGTGTGTCCTTTGCCTTCATTGCCTTCATTGCCTTTGCATTTGTTTGTGTTTTTTTTTTTTTTTAGGAGGGAGAGAAAGATAAAGAGAGAGAGAGAGGGAGGCAAGGAGAAAAGAGAGAAAGACAAAGACAGAGAGAGAGAGAAAGATAGAGAGAGAGAGAAAGATAAAGAGAGAGAGAGAGAGAGAGGGAGAGAGAGGGAGAGAGAGGTAGACAAAGAGAGGAAGTTAAAGAAAGATAGAGGGAGTGTCAAAGAAAGAGAGAAGGAGTGTCAAAGAGAGATGAAGACTAAGAGAGGGAGAGGGAGTCAAAGATAGAGAGAGACAAAGGTGAGAGGATAAAATGGAATGAGGGCTACTTGAACAAAGTCTATAGTGATCATCCTCCAGCGGGGTATCAAGCAAGGCGTGCAAGTAACAAAACCCGCAGACGAGAAAAATGGTGGAGTGTGTGTATATGGACATTTTTTAGTGTTATTTGGGGTGCCTGAAATGGTCAAGAGGGATCACTGAACAGCCGATGGTGTCTGAATTTGACTCTTTGACGAGAATCTCGATGCACGGCGAGGAAAGGAGAAGTCCATTGAGAACGACGGATAGCACTGGTCAAATGATCTTTTTGCCAGCAGCGCGGCAAAAAGAAAGTGCAAAAAGCATTTCTATTCTGACAGGGTGTTTTGATTTCCATCCATGCTCCTGTTCAAACAGGCCCCTGTTAGAATTGAAAAAAGACCAAAAACATATGGCAGAATTTTTTTGGAAAAACCCCTGTCAGACACCCCCTGTTAATTTTGCGCTGACAGGGGGTGTTAGAATAACCGAGTCGCCGTCATCAACCCCATTCCTGTCCTCCTTCCCGACGGCTCATCCTCCATCACCAACCATACTGTCAACATCACCATCGAACGCAATGGCTACTCCGACACTCTCGACCCCATTCTCTACCCACTCAAGAAATACGACCTGATTCTGGGAAAACCATGGCTCACACACATCAACCCTCAAATCAACTGGCGTACAAATGCTCTACACTTCACCCACAACAACACATCCATCAAATGGGACTGCACAGGATTTAAATCAAACAGCATCCAAACCCGCACCAAAGGTCTCCTCCTCTCCCACCTACACTTTCATACCATGGCTACCCTCCCCGGCTCGGACATATTCTTGGCTCTGGTCAAGTCCTCGAAGGATCTGCAGAAGGACAAGGACAGGAATGACAAGGGCTCACCATCGCCACCCAAGCGCCCTCTTATGACACCTGAGATCAGGTCAATCGTCGAAGATGAGTTTAAGGATGTATTCCCCGACACACTTCCCAGCGGCCTCCCACCAGACAGAGGCGATGCGATGAAAATCGAGACAGACCCCACAGCAGACCCACCATTCAAGCCAGTCATTCGCCTCTCCATTGCAGAACTCGACGAACTCAGGAAGCAGCTGGATGAATTACTCGCCAAAAAATTCATCAAGCCCAGTACATCACCTTACGGCGCTCCAGTACTTTTCGTTCGGAAAAAGGATGGCACCCTGCGTATGTGCGTGGACTACCGAGCTTTGAACGGGATCACCAAGAAAAATCGGCATCCACTCCCCAGGATCGACGAGCTAATTGACCGTTTTCGTGGCGCACGTTATTTCAGTAAACTGGATCTACTCTCAGGATACCACCAACAGAGGATCTACGAACCACACACACACAAAACAGCATTCCGATGCAGATATGGACACTTTGAATTTAACGTCGTCCCATTCGGCCTCACCAACGCACCCGCCTCCTTCTCCAACATAATGCTAAGGGTACTCGACCCGGTTTTGGATAAATGGGTTGTTGTCTATCTAGACGATATTCTTATCTACTCTAAAACTAAGGCCGAGCATCTAAAGCACCTTCGCAGCGTCCTCGCCCTCCTTCGACAACATGGACTTTATGCCAAACTCAGCAAGTGTTCGTTTATGCAGGAGGAAACCGAATTTCTTGGACACACCATCTCCAAGGACGGGATCTCAACTTCAGCAGGACTTGTCAAAGCCATTCGGGAATGGCCACGCCCCACCAGCATCAAAGACGTCCAACAGTTCCTGGGCTTGGCACAATTCTACCAGACTTACATCGACAAGTTCGCCCAGATCGCCCTTCCGCTCTCTCAGCTTCTAGCAGGCGGCGCAACTTTTTCATGGGATAATGACAAGGAACAGGCATTTCTCTCCCTTAAAACCGCCATCAGCTCTGCCCCGGTCCTACGCATATTCGATCCCGACTTGCTAACAACCGTCGAGACCGACGCATCCGGATTTGCTATCGGCGCTGTTCTCTTTCAGACGGACGCATCAGGAGTATCCCGACCCGTTGCTTTCACTTCACGGAAACTTCAACCGGCAGAGAGAAACTACCCAACCCATGAGCAGGAGCTACTGGCAGTTGTGCATGCCCTCAGGACGTGGCGATACTACCTGGATGGATCCCACTTTGTCGTGTACACGGATCATGCAACCCTCCGCCATTTTCCGACACAACCAAAACTCACCCGCCGCCAGGCTCGATGGATGGAGCTACTGCAGGAATATGACTTCGACTTCAAGTACAAGCGCGGAGCCGACAATACAGTACCCGACGCCCTATCTCGCCGACCCGACCATCGTGCAGAAGATCCTGTCAGCCCAACAACAGACACAGTCGAGATCCATTCAATCGATATCCAACTTGAACCAGGTGTGAGGCAGCGCCTGATAGAAGACTACCAGAGCAGCCCCAGGCTCAGTCTCGTCTACAAAAGCTGCCTCGAGGGAAGTGCCCCCTCTGGTTACTCTTTTCATAATGGTCTTCTCTACTATGATCGCCGTGGTACCACCGTCCTTGCCATACCACAGAAAGCTGACATTTGCCGCTCTCTTTTACATGACTGCCACGATACCCCCATAGCTGGTCACTTCGGGTTCAGGAAGACATACGACAAACTGCGACGGATGGCATACTGGCCCAACATGGCCAAGGAGACTCAACTCTACGTCGACTCATGCGAGAAGTGTCAACGCAATAAGCCAAGTCAGGAGCGACCTGCAGGACTCCTCCAACCTCTCCCCATCCCCGCCAGTCGCTGGGAGGTTGTGACCATGGACTTTATGACCCACCTACCCAAGACACCCCGCAACCATGATGCCATTACCGTCTTTGTCGATAAATTATCGAAGCATGTCCACTTCGTTCCCAGCACCACCACCGCTACCGCCACCGACGTTGCTCGCCAGTTTTTCGACAATGTCTTCCGCCATCATGGAATGCCAACGACAATCGTCTCGGATCGCGACAGCAAATTCACCAGTCACTTTTGGCAGGAACTTCATCGACTCATGGATGTCAAGCTTGCAATGTCAACAGCCTATCACCCACAAACGGACGGACAGACGGAGGTCATGAACAAGACACTAGGAGTTATGCTACGCGCTTTCATCGACGAAAAACAGACCAACTGGGATACCCTCCTTCCAGCCGCGGAATTTGCATATAATAACTCCGTCAACCACTCGACCGGCTATTCACCTTTTTTCCTCAACACCGGCCAACATCCCCGCATCCCCGCCAGTCTCCTCTCCCACACCGACAGCAACGTACCCAGCGTTCACAACTATCTTGATCAACAGTCGACAGCACTACTTTTCGCACAAGACGCACTACAACGAGCCCAGGATCATCAGAAGGAACAGGCCGACAAGAGAAGACGCGACCACGACTACAAGGTCGGCGACAAGATCCTCCTTAGTGCAGAGAACATCACCATGCCAGCCGACAGTGGACTCAGCTCGGATAAACTCAAACCTCGCTTCATCGGACCCTTTACATTGCTGGAGCAGCGATCACCAGTCACTTTTCTAGTCGACCTACCGCCCTCCTACAACATCCACAATGTCTTCCACGTCGACCTCTTCCGCCATCACATCGAGTCACCACTTGCATTTGGCCGCCGAACATTAGCACCACCACCACCAGTTGTCATCGAGGGCAATGAAGAATACGAGGTCGAGTCCATTTTGCGTTACAGGAAATACCGACGGCAACACCAGTTCCTTGTGTCATGGAAAGGGTACGGACGGGAGGACCAAACGTGGGAGCCCGTCGCCAACCTGGAGAACTGCCGCGACCTAGTTGACGCGTTCAAAAAGGACCAGGGGATCGTTTTTTAAAAGGGGAAGGTGCAACAGTTGAACCTCCGATCAGAGTAGCTTTAGATAAATAGATACACACTACCATAATACATCCACATCTCTTACTTCCACTCCTCCTAAAGTTGCATTCAGCATCTTTATCACCCACCGCATCTTTGTCATCCTCAGCATCTTTATCGCCCTCAGCATCTTTATCATCCTCACATGTGCTCTCATCTTTCTGTGGCAAGCTTTGCTTATGCTCATGCGGTTTAAATCCCATAGCAAACAACTTCTCTTTTTCCTTCTGGCTAAGAGAATGACACTCTACATTCTCTGCAGCAATATGGTCATCAGTCATCAAGCCGATTACAGTGTCTTTTTTGCGCATCTTGAGAATGTGCATTCCATTTACAAGTACATTCTCGGAATATTCCAAGTACTAGTTAAGTTTTTTCCATATCACCTTGGATTTATCTGTTGGTCCTTCTACTGGTACTTCTTCTTCTACTTCGATCTCCTCGTTGAAAAGCGTCTTTCTCTCTTCATCAGACAATGGTTGAAGTTTCATCTTGCTAAGCATGGAGCGTTCCAAGATATCCAACTCTGGAACATCACCGACACCGCGCAGAGCATCAAGCGTAAACAGGCCAACGTATGTATTCTTTCCAGATAGCCTGACAATGTACTTGCCATTCATCGTAAACTTAGTTGCATACTCAAGCATGTCGTTATTAGGATGAATCATCCATCCTCTGTCCTTCGCACGTGCTATGTCTTTCTCTGATCTAATGTTATGCACCGTTGTGGCCAGTGCAAATGTATGTTCATCTTTTCCATCCTTAGAAACGTCTACATTAGAAGATGGCTCTGCATTTTTGGGCATCTCTGAATGCCTTTTCTTTCGAGAAGTCTTCTTCTCATCATCCTTAGATGACTTTTTATGAGATAGTTTTTCATCAGGGTTATCCTTAGAGGTATCATCTCCAGATTCTACATCAGGTCTGTTATTGGACTTGCCATCATCAGAGTCTTTATCATCAGGGGAATCATCGTCAGAGCCAGCATCATCAGACGTATCACCATCATCTGTATCATCCTCAGAATTCTCATCAGCAGAAGACTCTTCTATTTTTTCTACATCTGCAGGAGTTGCCTCTTGGAGTCCCATCTTTTGCAATATACGTACCTCTTTGTCAGATATTTCCGGTACAGGAAGATTTTTCCCCATGAGCTCAGGTGGACACAATACAATGTAGAGGTCCTTTTCCTTCAGCTTAATAATGTACTTGCTATTTACAGTAAAGTTCTTTGCATACAGAAAAGCTGGATTAGTTGCATAACGCATCCATATGCCTGTATTAGCGAGTGGTACATTTTTCTTGGACGTTATGTCAACTACCTTTGGACTCAACGGAAAGGAGACGGCAATTTTATCTTCTTCATCATCATCGTCGGACGGCTCTTCATCCTCGGAAGTCATATCGTCATCAGATGATACAAACTTAGAAGTATGTGTCTTCTTTAAAGCCTTGGAAGACTTGGGACGCGTAACGACAGGTGCATTCTTGTTACCACGTTTTATATGACCTCTATCTTGATCTTGATGACGCCCACAGTATGTTTGACCAATTTTGGCTACACTACCACAATTAGCGCCCTTAATGGTTGTGCCTTGACACTTGCGCGCAGGATCGTGGACATAACAATGCATGCCTTCATCGTCAACTTCCTTCATGCATTTACGCTTGGACTTGACGCACTTTGCTCCACAAAAGTAGTATCTCTCCACTTCCTTATCCCCATCAAGCGCCTTAAAGATCTTATTTGCATCTTTCTTGGTAAACTCCACTCCCTTCTTAGAAGAAAATGTCTCGAAGGCCTTGGTGATGAGCTCGATTGTAAGCTGAACGTACTGCATGTTTTTGGATATGAACAATATAGATTGTACTTGTGGTATGGTGGGTGTGAATGACTTTTCAGTTTATGTGTGGTAGATTGCAGCTGCTTAGTACACTGATATAAAGAATTGCAATAAAAGATGGTTGTATAGGTATGGATGGTTGTATAGATATGGATAATGGTTGGTTGGTTACTAGATAAGATAAAGATTAAGCAAGAGGGAAGTGGAGTCCTTTATTTATACTAATTCATGGGACACTGCCACATTGGATATTAATAGCGCTTGCTTATTAACACTGCTTGGCGCTTAGTAACAAAAGAGTTTTAAAAAGGCATCTAAGTGGTTAATAACGTAGTGTTCCTCGTATGACGTAGATCTTGCTTATTAAGACTGCTTGGCGGCCCCTTCATGTGCAGAGGATATAAAAAGGCATATAAAAAATATCCAAAGCCCAAGGAACGGAGTGTTTACTTCCATAACTGACATATCTCTTCATAGTGGGCAACAGAACACAGAATAAAATAGCAATAGACAGCACATGTTTTTTTAAAATGTAATCTCTCCCCTGTATTTCGCCCCAAAGATACAGTTGAGAGTACAAGTGCTTTAGATGATGACATACAAGAACTACTCTGGCGAATCTTGCAGTGAGGGTTACAGGTTAATAGTAGATGGACATATTCAAGAGTGTGGTGTGCGAAAAATAAGAAGACTTTGTTGTTTGGAGAATAGGTTGGTGTTTAGTAGGATAGTTAAACAAAAAATGTTACAATGGTTGTCTTATATGCTTGGTATCATATATACATTCTCATCCCATAGTCGCTATGGATATTGTCGAGATCTACAGAGATGTAACAAACACCATATGATAACTTGGACCTGAAAGGCCTCCTAGGTGAATGTTTTAAAAAAATATGGGTAATGCAATAATGGTGAGGGTGCATGCATTGTGGAACGTCTCAGATGAAGTTATCGTGGTTTTTATAATGTTTGATGTAACATACTTTGTAGGAAGTTACGATTGTTATAATATTTGTTGATATGCGGCCTCCTATACAGATCGTTGGTAAACATGCCAATGGTGAAAAAATAAATGTCATAAAGAGTGCATGCATTGTAGAACATATTAGATATAGTTATTGTAATTTTCGTAATGTTAAATATAAGTAGATTGTGGATAAACACCACTGTGATCAAGAAAGAAATATTGTAAATTGTGCAAAGGATGGTGGAAGTTTTTAAAAAGATGGGTAATATATCTGGTGAATCTCATTGGAAGGGACGAGGATAATATTACATGTGTATTCCATATATAAAAGCTTTATTTGTGCAAGTGGTATATCTACAGTTTTTAAAATTCTTGATCTACTCTTCTGCGGTCTCAAATGTTACTTCAAGAGGCTTCTTTTCTTCCATCGTACTTTTCTCTTTGGCTTGAATACTATCTAATACACTTTGCACTATGGTTTTTCTGTTGTTAGATCCTTCTTTTGCAAACTTACATAATATATCGGAATGTGGTTCGCGGGAACCAAACTTATCCATGTGCCATGTTTCGTAGTTGGAATAATCTTTCTCCAACAAACCTAGGTGAAAAATTAGTTCTTTTTCTTCTGCATTACCATCTGCCGAAACGTATTCCTCGCGGAGTTCTTCTTCGATAGCTGTTATTTTGCTATATACTTCTCCCATTGCCTTCAGAAAATCATGATGGTCTTTTGTAGTGTAAACACTTGAGGCATTCACATTTTCGCTTTCCATAGGTCCACCATCTTCTAGAGTTTTCTTAACATCCGACTCTTGCACCTCATCATCTACTTTTTCTACAAGTTCATCTAAAGTTTCCTTAATATTCGACTCTTGCACCTCATCATCTATTTTTTCTACCGGTTCACCTTTCTCTGTCGACCTATCCTTAGACCATTGTGGCTTAAAGCCCATAGCAAAGATCTTTTCTTTTTCCTTTTGGTTAAGATTATCATAGTCGACATTCTCTGCACCAATGTGGTCATCAGTCACCAAGCCAACTACAATGTTTTGCTTGCGGATCTTGAGAATGTGCTTTCCATTTACAAGTACATTCTTGGAATACTCCAATTGCTGCTTGTGAAACCTTTTCCATTTCATCTTGGATATATCTGTCGGTCCTTCCACTGGTAGTTCCTCTTCTACTTCGACCTCCTCGTTGAAAAGCATCTTTCTCTCTTCATCAGACATTTCTTGAAGTTTCATCTTGCTAAGCATGGAGCGTTCCAAGATATCCATCTCTGGAACATCACCACCGCCACGCAGATGATCAAGCGTAAACAGGCCAACGTATGTATTCTTTCCACATAGCTTGACAATGTACTTAGCCTTCATCGTAAAGTTAGTTGCATACTCAAGCATGTCGTTATTAGGATGAACCATCCATCCTCCATCCTTTGCAAGTGGTATGTCTTTCTCTGATCTAATGTTACGCACCGTTGTGGCCAGTGCAAATGTGTGTTCATCTTTTTCATCCTTAGAAACATCTACATTAGAAGATGGCTCTGCATTTTTGGGCATCTCTGAATGCCTTTTCTTTCGAGAAGTCTTCTTCTCATCATCCTTAGATGGCTTTTTATGAGATAGTTTTTCATCAGGGTTATCCTTAGAGGTATCATCTCCAGATTCTACATCAGGTCTGTTATTGGACTTGCCATCATCAGAGTCTTTATCTTTAGAGGAATCATCCTCAGAGTCAGCATTATCAGACGTATCACCATCATCTGTATCATCGTCAGAATTCTCATTAGCAGAAGACTCTTCTATTTTTTCTACATCTGCTGAAGTTGCCTCTTGAAGACCCATCTTGGCCAATATGCGTGCCTCTTTCTCAGATATTTCTGGCGCAGGGAGATTCTTGCCCATGAGCTTAGGTGGACACAATGCAATGTAGAGATTCTTTTCCTTTAGCCTAATAATGTACTTGCCATTTACAGTAAAGCTTTTTGCATACAGGAAAGCTGGATTAGTTGCATAACGCGTCCATATACATGTATTAGCGAGTGGTACATTTTTCTTGGACGTTATGTCAACTACCTTTGGACTCAACGGAAAGGAGACGGCAATTATATCTTCTTCATCATCATCATCGGACGGCTCTTCATCCGATGACTCCTGCTTGTTTCTCTTTCGCTTCTTTGGTTCTTCATCCTCGGAAGTCATATCGTCATCGGAAGACACAAACTTAGAAGTATGTGTCTTCTTTAAAGCCTTGGAAGACTTAGTACGCTTGTCGACAGGTGCGTTGTTGTTACTACGTTTTATATAACCTCTATCTTGATCTTGATGACGTCCACAGTATGTTTGACCAAGTTTGGCTACACTACCACAATTAGCACCCTTAATAGTTGTGCCTTGACACTTGCGCGCAGGATCGTGGACATAACAATGCATGCCTTCATCATCAACTTCCTTCATGCATTTGCGCTTGGACTTGGTGCACTTTTCTCCACAAAAGTAGTATCTCTCTACTTCCTCATCCTCATCAAGCGCCTTAAAGATCTTATTTGCATCTTTCTTGTTAAACTCCACTCCCTTCTTAGAGGAGAATGTCTCAAAGGCCTTGGTGATGAGCTCGATTGTAAGCTGAACGTACTTCATGTTTTTGGATATGAATAATATGGATTGTACTTGTGGTATGGTGGGTGTGAATGAGTTTTCAGTTTATGTGTGGTAGATTGCAGCTGCTTAGTACACTGATATAAAGAATTGCAATAAAAGATGGTTGTATAGGTATGGATGGTTGTATAGATATGGATAATTGTTGGTTGGTTACTAGATAAAGATTAAGCAAGAGGGAAGTGGACTCCTTTATTTATACTAATTCAGGAACACTGCCACAATGGACATTAATAGCGCTTGCTTATTAGCACTGCTTGGCGCTTAGTAACAAAAGAGTTTTAAAAAGGCATCTAAGTGGTTAATAATGTAGTGTTCCTCGTATGACGTAGATCTTGCTTATTAAGACTGCTTGGCATTAAAGACGGGGTTTAAAAATGGTTAAGAATGTAGTATTATTTTATGACGTAGGTTTGTACATGTGTTTATCCTCTGTGTTAAATAAAAAGGAATGCTGTAGAATAGCATAGAATAGCATCCGATCTACTACAATAATACCATGGCTTTTAATAATAGATACCGGTGCATATTAGCGTCTTGGCAGTTAATACCGTATCTTAAAGCTGACTAAATAGGCCATGTATGTCTATTCTTTTAAAAACCTGCAATAAGTCTACAGATTACCATTAACATCCATTTGTCGCTTCGTACCTCTAAGCTCAATGGAAAGACCGGGTTGCATTATTACTGCTTGATCCATTGGTGTGTCCTCATCAACATTAACATCAACATCACCATGAAGATTAATACCAAGAAATTTGTTCTGGAGTTGTGCCATTGTATTTCCATCCTCCACTAGCGCACCAACATCAACATATCCCATTGGTTGCTCAACGTCGTTCTCTGTCGTCGGATACTCGAATCCTTCGCGAAGCCAAGCTGTATGAATTGGTTCTGCAGAAATCTTCAACAAAGCAACCATCTTTTTCATGTTTAAGAGTAACAAAGATAACTTCAACTGCAAATTATATGTTTGTTTCTTATCCACCAACACAGGAGTACGGTTGTTGTGTTTCTCAAATGTGGAACCAAGGTCTGCAAACAGAGATTCCATCTGCGAGCGGAAACTACCAAAGGTGGTATTGTATAACGCTTCTTCCTGTGTAAGTTCCTTGTTCTTCTGTTTACGGTATGGATGAGCGAAATTTTGGACTTTAAGAGTATCAGACTCATCTATAAGCCTCCTTAAGAACTGTGGATACCCTCCATCGAGAGCAATGCAATCCATCTCATGCACTCTCTTGTCCAACTTCATCGTTAGCAGCATTGTTCCATCAGCATTGTTCTTGCAAGATGCAGATTTGGAGACAAATAAGGCCATGCCATTACAATCCATTGCTACCTGTGTGCGTAACCCTGACTTTTTCAGCTTGTAAGAGTACATATCAGCACTGCTCTCACCTTTGTATGTTGCTCTTGTATCATGACCATCAAGATGCAATGTAACATGCTTAAATAATGGAGGATTCTTTTCCTTTGCAGACAAAAGGCGTATTTTAATTGTGGAGAACATTGTTGCAATACAGTTGGTGATGTACTTGTTGTGCAAAGTATATTCTTTCTTATAAAACACAGAGTGCATTGCATGAAAACTACTTTTTGGCATGTGTGGTTCCATTGCTTCCATAGACAGTCCTTTGACAAGATGGTAGAGCATTAAAAGACCTTTCTCCACTTCTTTGTATGGACCAGGATACTTAACCTTTGGCCAGATGTCAACAAGAAAGAAGTACACTGGAATAGGACCAAGGCGTCGATTTAGGGTTTCTTTTATTTCTGGCATATACCCAATTTCCTTGCTTACAGTACGATGATTATTACGTGGTGTAATTGTTGGCCATCCAGCGTTGAGGAAAGTCCAATGGTCATCAAGCAGTTGTTTGAAGTGTTTTGTTAGATCCATAATAATATTTATGTATTGGATTGTCATGACGTTAACCAACAATAACAATTTTTTAAAAAGGCTTATACTTAACTGTATACACAACAGCATGTAGGATGGTATCTATCATACAGCAAGCACATAGTTGAGAATACAAATATATTTTTATATTTTATTCGGTAGCGGCCCCTTCATGTGCAGAGGATATAAAAAGGCATATAAAAAATATCCAAAGTCCAAGGAACGGAGTGTTGACTTCCATAACTGGCATATCTCTTCATAGTGGGCAACAGAACACAGAATAAAATAGCAATAGACAGCACAAGAATTTTTAAAATGTAATCTCTCCCCTGTATTTCACGACAAAGATACAGTTGAGAATACAAGTGCTTTAGATGATCACATACAAGAACTACTCTGTCGAATCTTGCAGTGAGGGTTACAGTTTAATAGTAGATGAACACATTCAAGATATTGGTGAGCGAAAAATAAGAAGACTTTGTTGTTTGGAGAATGTAGTTGTGTTTAGTAGGATAATCGCGCAAGGAATGTTACAGTGGTTGTTTTAAATGGTTGATATTATACATACACTCTCCTCTAATGGACGCGGTGGATATCGTCAAGATCTGCAGAGATGTAACAAACACCATATGATAATTTGGACTTGAAAGGCCTCCATACCAAGCATATAAGACAACCATTGTAACATTTTTTGTTCAACTATCCTACTAAACACCAACCTATTCTCCAAACAACAAAGTCTTCTTATTTTTCGCACACCACACTCTTGAATATGTCCATCTACTATTAACCTGTAACCCTCACTGCAAGATTCGCCAGAGTAGTTCTTGTATGTCATCATCTAAAGCACTTGTACTCTCAACTGTATCTTTGGGGCGAAATACAGGGGAGAGATTACATTTTAAAAAAACATGTGCTGTCTATTGCTATTTTATTCTGTGTTCTATTGCCCACTATGAAGAGATATGTCAGTTATGGAAGTAAACACTCCGTTCCTTGGGCTTTGGATATTTTTTATATGCCTTTTTATATCCTCTGCACATGAAGGGGCCGCTTTAAGGTTGTTTATCGACCTGGCGTTCTGAACGTTTTACCAGACGCTTTGTCTCGCCAGTTTCCTTAAGAGTTGTGGACAGCCCGCATTCAAGGATCTGCTCCGAGCAAAATTTATGGTTATGTTCACTTAATCCAGGACGCCGACACTCAACGTGTGACGGTAGCTGTCTCAGAGAGAAGAGGAGTGTTAGTCGACGCACATGCGCTTGGTCACATTGGGACCAATGCCATGGTCAAGCATATTCATTCGTTGCAAAAGACGTGGCCTAATCTGGCCAAGGATTGCTTGGAGTATGTTCAGCGTTGCCAAGAATGCCAGCGAGTCAACATGGCACGCAAGGGATACCACCCTCTGACGGCCATTCATGCTCAGTTACCAGGTGAACATATGGCGGTTGATTTGACCGGTCCATTCCCTGTGGAGAGCGATGGAAACCTATTCCTACTCATTTTGGTTGATGTTTGTACAAGGTTCGTCTTCTTGGAACCCATACCTGACAAGAAGGGGATGACCATTGCAAAAGTTTTGTTCAAAATCTTCACCACTATTGGTTTTCCACGTATCCTCCAATCTGACAATGGCAGAGAATTCGTTAACGAGGCGGTGCAAGTGATGACTACCACTATGGGAGTGCAACATAGGTTACTCACCCCTTATCACCCTCGCGGAAACGGAGTCGCCGAAAATCATGTGAAAACAGCATGCACTATCATTCGCAAAGAGGTTCAAGACCATAAACAAGCATGGGCGAAATATGTTCCTATGGCACAGCTAGCTATGAACACCAGAATTGTGGCTCTACACAATTCGTCCCCATTTTCTTTGTTTTTTGCGCGGCGTTATAATGGTATTAGCAATTTTTCGGACACGACAGAGAAGTTATCATCCCAGGAGGAGCTCTTAAAGCGGCTTGAGTACATGACCAAGACCGTCTTTCCAGCGATTGACACTAAGACCCGCAAAACTCAACGTCGAATGATTGAGCGTTTCAATAGAACAGTACTGCACAGTGAATTCCCTGATGGAGCAAAGGTTATGTCTTTGGACCCGATCTTGGGCGACAAGCTTTCGCCTAGGTATGAAGGCCCTTATATTGTAGTCAGACGAACAACTGGTGGATCCTATGTGTTGAAGGATGCCACAGGAGAAGAGTTAGGTCGTAAATTTGCGCCGTCGCAGCTAAAGCTTGTGCTCGACGATTTTGAAGCAACTGACACATACGTAGTAGAAAAAGTTCTCAACCACAGGCATGGACCTAGGGGGGGGATGGAATACCGCGTAAAATGGAAAGGGTACAAAGAGGAAACCTGGGAGCCTCAAGAGAATTTTATTGAGAGAAAGTGTATCACAGACTACTGGAAGACTAAAAACCTACCAGGATCGCAATCTCTAACGCAGCCTCATCAAACGGCCGCGACTCTCGGGACTAAGGGTCAAGAGCAGGAGCTCAATCCATCGCAACGTAAAGGTGCTACTAAAACATCAAAGAACATATCCAATGGTGATGCTCTTAATAAGGGTACATGCAAGCGTGCAAACCCCGACGAAGAAGAAGATCAATTGGTCGATCGACGCAGGTCTAAACGACTGCGAAGAAATAATGCTAATGGCGAGAAGATGAGTATTGAGCTTAGGACGATTCGCGGGCGTATGCCTGATCGTCATTAGCATGCATCATCAGTGCATCCGATGAATAATGCAGTAGGGGTTTTTCCGCTTCCCCTACAATCACGTTCGAGGTTTTCCCTCTTGGGTTTTCCCCTCGCAAGGATTTTTAAACGATTTTTTGCCTTGAGTGAACAATTAATGTCATGTGAGGATTGTTGATCCTCAACCTGTCTGCAAGGTTTTTATTCAGATTTTTTCCTGGCAGAACAGTAAAATAATGCACAGAGTCCAAGTGATTCTTAGACACAAACGAGCAGAGCATATATGCGTTTTTAAGCAGACGGCTTTCAGCCTTTCCCATGGGAGGGGATTGTCGCATATTTGCCTGTCTCGGGGGTGTCAGCTAATGTAATTAGGCTAGAGACAGTAATTTAGTCATATGACCAGACACCGACATAAATGGAGGTGTCTGGGCTGTTAACAAAGATCCCTCTCTTGTCTTATTAATTCGATTGTGCGTGACTAGCGTAAAAATTTTCACGCATTGTTGTATGCAAACTCGGCGGCAGGTAGGTACAGGTCCCAGTCGTCTTGTTTGTGATTCACCTGGGCGCGCAGCATGGTCTTGAGGGTTTGAATGGCCCTTTCCGACTGGCCGTCCGTCTGTGGGTGGAAGGAGGAGGACATGGCAAGCTTGGTGCCTAAGCGTTCCTGTAGTCGACGCCAAAAAGTGCTGGTGAATTTTGTATCTCTGTCGGAGACGATGGTGAGGGGGAGACCATGGAGGCGAAAGATGTTGGAGAAGAAACAATTGGCAACATCGGTGGCGGTGTCTGTGGTGCGACTTGGGGCGAAGTGCACTTGTTTTGAGACCTTGTCTACAAAGACGGTAATGGCATCGTGCTTTCGGGCGGTCATAGGTAACTTGACGACAAAATCCATGGTAACGGTATCCCAGCGCTGCTCAGGAACTTCCAAGGGATGGAGCAGACCGGCAGGAAGGCGACGAACAGCCTTGTTTCGCTGGCAGCTTGAGCAAGAAGCCACGTAGTTACGGACATCAACAGACATCTTGGGCCAGTAGGCCAGGCGGCGTAAGGTAGTGTACGTTTTATCGAACCCCAGGTGGCCAGCAATGGCAGCATCATGAACATCATGAAGAAGAAGAAGGCGTAGGTCAGAGAACTTTGGTATGCAGAGTAGGGTATCACCATGCCGCTCAACATACAATAAGCCATTATACAATGAGTAAAGGGATGGTGACTTGCCTCGGAGGCAGCTTTGATAGATAGGGCCAAGACGAGGATCGTTTTGATACCCTTCGATCAGGCGCTGCCTCAAACCTGTGTCCGCTTGAAGGTCAAGTGCATTGACTGAGAGGGGTGGGGGGTTTGGTACGCGGTGGTCCGGACGCCGAGAGAGGGCATCAGGAACGACATTGTCAGCGCCACGCTTGAACTTAAAATCAAAGTCATACTCTTGTAGAAGCTCCATCCAACGTGCTTGTCTTCGAGTGAGCTTGGGTTGCGTGGGGAAATGACGGAGCGTATCATGATCGGTATACACAATAAAATGGGAGCCGTCAAGGTAATACCGCCAGGTCTTGAGTGCGTGGACCACAGCGAGGAGCTCTTGCTCATGAGTTGGGTAATTCCGTTCTGCAGAATTCATCTTTCGCGAGGTGAAGGCCACGGGTCGTGCAAACCCATCAGCGTCTATCTGGAAGAGGACCGCGCCAACAGCATAACCCGATGCATCGGTCTCGACGATCGAGGGTAGGTCTGGGTCAAAGATGCGTAATACTGGGGCAGAGCTGATGGCATCCTTGAGTGCACGAAAAGCGGACTCGGTGGCATCATCCCAGACAAACTGGCGACCTTCACCTAGCGGCCCCTTCATGTGCAGAGGATATAAAAAGGCATATAAAAAATATCCAAAGCCCAAGGAACGGAGTGTTTACTTCCATAACTGACATATCTCTTCATAGTGGGCAACAGAACACAGAATAAAATAGCAATAGACAGCACATGTTTTTTTAAAATGTAATCTCTCCCCTGTATTTCGCCCCAAAGATACAGTTGAGAGTACAAGTGCTTTAGATGATGACATACAAGAACTACTCTGGCGAATCTTGCAGTGAGGGTTACAGGTTAATAGTAGATGGACATATTCAAGAGTGTGGTGTGCGAAAAATAAGAAGACTTTGTTGTTTGGAGAATAGGTTGGTGTTTAGTAGGATAGTTGAACAAAAAATGTTACAATGGTTGTCTTATATGCTTGGTATCATATATACATTCTCATCCCATAGTCGCTATGGATATTGTCGAGATCTACAGAGATGTAACAAACACCATATGATAACTTGGACCTGAAAGGCCTCCTAGTAGAGACGTGAGGGGAAGAGCGATGTCAGCAAAATTGTGGATATACTGCTGGTAGAACTGGGCTAACCCAATGAACTGTTGAACGTCCTTTTGTTTTGTTGGGCGAGGCCACTCTCGAATGGCGCGAACAAGACCGGCATTGGTGTGTAAACCATCCTTGGTAATGACATGACCGAGGAACTCAGTCTCTTCTTGCATAAAGGAGCACTTGCTCAACTTTGCATAGAGACCGTGCTGGCGGAGGAGAGAGAGAACACTGGGAATATGACGGAGATGTTCGGCCTTGGTCTTGGAGTATATCAGAATATCGTCAAGATAGACGACCACCCACTTGTCAAGGACGGGATCAAGGACCTTGAGCATCATGTTGGAGAAGGAGGCTGGGGCGTTGGTGAGGCCAAAGGGGACGACGTTGAACTCAAAGTGCCCGTATCGACAACGGAAGGCAGTCTTATGAGTGTGAGGCTCATAGATGCGTTGTTGATGATACCCCGAGATTAAGTCCAACTTGGTAAAGTACTTTGCGCCCCGAAAACGGTCGATCAACTCATCAATTCTAGGTAAGGGATGGCGGTTCTTTCTTGTAATGCGGTTGAGACCACGATAGTCAACACACATACGTAGAGAACCGTCGGCCTTCTTGACAAAGAGCACTGGGGCGCCGTAGGGAGAAGTGCTGGGCTTGATGAGTTTTTTAGAGAGTAACTCATCAAGTTGCTTCTTCAATTCGTCCAACTCTGCAATAGACAAACGAATAACGGGCTTGAAAGGAGGGTCAGCGCTCGGGTCCGTTTCGATGCGCATGGCATCTCCACGGTCCGGAGGTAGACCAGAAGGAAGTGAAGAGGGAAAAACGTCGGGGAACTCGTCGTGAACAATGGAGTGGATGTCAGGGGGAAGAGAGGGAGGTGGTTGTGGTGTGATGGGAGTGATCGAGGGCAGTTGTTGGTTAGAGGTGGGCTGGTCATTATCATTGTCGTTATTGTTGTTGTTGTCTTTGTCGTTGTCTTTGTCGTTGGAACGAATGAGGGCAAGGTATATTTCGCTGCCGGGGGTTGTTGCCTCTGTGTAGAAGTGGATGTGGGAGAGGAGAAGGCCGCGAGTGCGAGTGCTGATGGAAGATGACTGAAAGCCGGTACAGTCCCAGTCTATGTCGATGTCGTTGTAGCGGATGCGGAGGTTGTTGGTTCGCCAGTTGATGAGAGGGTTGGTTTGTGTGAGCCAAGGTTTGCCAAGGAGGAGGTCGTAGCTCTTTAAAGGGTAGACGAGGGGATCGAGAGTGGTGGAGTATTGTTGTCGTGCAAAGGTGATGTGGGCGGTGTGGGCAGAGAAGGAGCGAGATCCGTCGGGGAGGACAATGGGGATGGGAGAAGAAGAGTGAAGAGGAATTTGATGTCGCTTTACAAAAGAAGAGCTGATGACGTTGCCTTGAGCTCCACCGTCGATGAGGATCCGAGCGGAGTGACCATTAACATTGCAGACAAAGGTGAGGAGGGTAGTCTTGGCTTGCTCGGCAGTGAACGTAGACACACCAATGCCCCTTTTTCGCAACCGGCGGATTTTGCTCTTGGTCATTGTGGAAAAGACAGGTACGGTCTCAGGCACGGGCGTGGTAGATGGAACAGACGAACCAGACGTGGGGGCTAGAACGAGAGGCGACAAAGGTGGGTCCAGGTCCACTGTAGCAGCCAATCCAGCCCCCTCTTGAACAGGGGAGGTGCATACAGCGGGGAGCTCAATGATAATGGGAGAAGGGACAGGGGGCGAGGGATCAACAAGTGTAATGGCAGCGGGGGAGGGGAGAGGAGCAAGGTCTTTGGGCAGAGAAAGTCGTTTATTCGAAAAAGAAAAAGAGGAAAACTTATCTGAAGAAAGAGGCTTACTCCTCTGGTCCAGAGGAGCAGAGGAGGGGGCAGCAGCAACTATAACCTGGACATCTTCTAGTTGCTGTTGGCTTTTCCCGACTGAGCCTGGGAAGTAGCCTGTTGAGGGGTTGGGGTGTCGGCAACCTCGATATTGTTGAACTGTCGTGCCGGGCGTGAAGTCGAAGGGAAAGTCCTGCAATCGGGCCCAAGGTGGCCAAGTTTACGGCACTTGTAGCAGCCACCATTCTTGTAGAGGTAGTCTTTCTCTTCTTGTGATAGCTTGGGAGGAAGAGGACCGCCGGGTTTGTAGTGGGTATTGGGGTTGTAGATAAAGGGTTTGGTGTTGTGCTGGCTGTGGTTGTAGCCGGATCGGCGCGAAAGGTAGCTGACTTGTGCGGAGAGGTTGTTGATAGCAACATGGAGGGTGTCGATCTCCATATCGCTGGATTGTTGAACAATGGGCTTGGGACCAGTGGGCCCGTCAGGGTAGAGGATGGAGTGAACCAGAGTGGCTTGAGTAATGGCAATATCCAAGGTCTCCGGCTGGCGAAGCATAACCTCCTTGCTGGTTTC